CAGGCGCGGAAAATACAGAGAAATTCAAGTTAAGCAGAAATAGTTGAGAGGAAAAAGCGAAAATTGTATGAATATAATTTATTTAATTACTACAATCTGTTAATAATATATAGATGAATAAAATGTAATGAACGTCGCAAGATTGAAAAAAAAAAAAAAGAAATCACGCGTTCCAAGCGTATCTCTAGCACGCTTCTTCGCAATAATAAATGTACCGCGTCGCGCCGGTGCGCATTTAATCCTCTCGTTACCGTTCTAACATGGTGTACATTAGCCTCTCGAGTAGATTACCCGAGCATAAGTGCAATTCAAACACGGTTCGTACCCCTGCTGGTCGCGCCGGCGATCGGCGCGAGCGTGTTCTCTCAGGTTGAAGACACTCCGGTCTAAAGCGAAAGTCGAACGCGATCTCTTTCGTTCCCGGCCTCTCCTCACCTTCGTCCGACCTCCCTCGTTCCTTGTTTGCATGCACATCGGCCCGTCTGCTGTCTTTGTTTCTCCGTTTTCCGGAATATCTCCGATATATCGTTTCTCTTCTCCGCCTAACTCCGTCTCTGTCCGTCTGTCTGTCTCTCTCTCTCTCTTTCCCTCCTGTGCGATGACAGACCGTCTCCGCCTGGTACGAGCTAATCGGTACTCGTTATATAAAGCGACGACCGCGCGACACTGTGTCAAGAACTCGGCATCTGTGACAAACGGAAGGAAATGAGTTTGAAATTTGTTAATTTTAGTGTAAAAGAGAGAGAAGACAAGTCCCGCGAATTTTTGGGATTAACAGCGAAAGAAATATCCATAAAAATTTTCAAATAACAGCACTTATATTTGTTTATATTAGCATATATTTTTTAGATAAAAAAGAATTTAATTGCAGATTACGAATCTGTTTTTAACTTTCGACTTAAAATCCATATATTTAATTTATCTTAAGAGTAAGCGTTTTTTTATTCTGGATCTTTGCAGGTTTTTTTTTTTTGCGAGAAGAGTTTTTTACATTCCTGCGCTTCCCAGTTGCAGAACTTTGCTCCGCGTGAAATCGTGCGTTCCGCAACGAGTATATCTCAGAACGTGACATAAACCATTCGCACTTACCAAAACGTCTCTCAATATTTTAACACGGGCAACGTGCGTCGAGACTGTTTATGATACAACAACGGAGAAATGATAAATGTCGTTCCGCGGCTTCTTGCAGTCGTTCGAAAGAAGAGTCTGACCGAAAATATATTCAGGCTAAATTTTATTGCACTGCTGAGATTTTGTAAGAGCCATAATCGCCAAATAAGCACAAGGTTATATCATCGCAATAAAATTTTTATTATATCGAATATCTACCGATCATAAAAAATAACGAAACAATATTATTAAAGTATATATAAAACGATGAATAAACTTTATGTAGAAATAGCTGATAACAGCCAGAGATAAAAAGATAATAGGAATGCAGAATTATATTACATTGCGATAAAATTCTTATCGCGTTAGATATATTAATTATAAAAATTTTTTAAGCAAAATCGCTAGTAATGTCAAGTGATGAGTCATTCACTTGTAGACAAATGATTATGAAATTGATACGTTAAATGAAAGAATATTTCTCTGATATCTGCATTTTAACGGTGCACTTAACAGATATTTGCTGCTACGAAAAATCGATAACCATCTGTCGATTTTATATTATTTTCGCATAATGCCGTCGTCACGAACTTATATTACGTTGTACGCAAAACCGCCAAATCGAAAAATATTTTAGATATATCCCGGCGTTCTTTAATGGACCGAAATTCTGTGGTATCGCATGCGGAGTGAGAAGTCGTTATCGGTTTTTCGTTCAATAACATCTCTATGATATCCACGACGAAACAATTATGGGAAAACGTGTCGTGATTGCCGTGGCGAAACTTTGATATCTGTTTGAATCGAGCACGCAAAGTAGTGAGTTCCGGTCTCTAGATAATTTATAATTTCCGTTGTCTCTGTATCGAAGGAATTTTCATTGGTTGCGTAATTAAAAAAGTTGTTTCTCTTCTGCACACATTTTGAAGTGCGAGTATCTTTCTTGTTGAACGCGCAGGTTGAACGAGCCGACCGATGACAATAGCCAAATCCTAGTTGGATAGCGATCGTGTAACGAAGCATAACATCATTAACAATGAGTGAAAGTCTCGTCGCTGGCCATCTCGGCGAGAAAGTAAATGGAAAACGTCATAGTGTTTTGCAAGTCGAAATATCGAATCGCACGGCAGGAGTAAAAAATCTGTAAGATAATCCGAGAGAGATTTGCGATTAATCTAAATTAAATTGAAATTGAAGCAACGATTGATCGGTTAAAAATTTAATTTCCAACCTGTGCTGCATTTTCTAAAATTAATACAAAAATATATCTATTTATTCGGAGAAATATATCGATGGGAGAAAATTCGAATTGTCAGGCTCGCAATCCGATTTAATTCCGAAGACAAGAACCGAACGGTCTTATTTTCAGGCCGAAGGCTGCTCCGTTCGGCGCCTGATTTTACCTTTTTGCAAACGTCGTCCGTTCGGCGTGGATCATTTCGGTCGAATAGAATTGTAGAATATGTGCAGCGCGTTCGCCGTTAGAGCTCCGCTCGCGCTTCTATGAGGAACGAACTTGCACATCGTCATCACGTCACGTCGTGTCTATCGGTGCGACGGTCGGCGGCGAAGTGGGGTATAGACCACTCGACGACGGTTTCCGACGTGAACATCCAGTCCGCCGCCGACTAGCTCGCTCAGTCAAGCTGAAACCGCGAAGGACCGCGATAGAGCGAGAGCGGGCGCACGCGTGCCTTACGGCCTCTCGCGCGAACGTTTCACCGTTTCTCAATGCCGCCTGGTTCGCCGCGCGGCCAGGAAGATCGCGCGAAATCGAAGACTCGTCGAATCGGCCGCGATACTCGGAGCTGTGCGGGTCCACGGTGCCGAGTGATAAGCGCGCGATAGCGCGTAATGCCGGAAGATACGGCGAGTGATAACGCGAATCTTTCATGTCGGACAACAGGATGTGCGGCGCGAAATAAAATAACATCGGAACGGATTTATGTGCGTTTCCGCGATGCTATCTTTACGGCCAGCTAGGCGGAACTTGCTTGCGGGATATGATGTCAGTTGGAATAAACGAAATGCGTGTGTACTTTGCGCACCTTATCGGTAGTCGCCATATCGGTGCGCCTTAAAAAGCGCGCTGAATCATCGCGCGGTAAAATTGACGTGCAGCGCAGTGCACTTTTGCGCGGTTGGCCTTTGCGAGGTGTCGTGTGAAATCGACACACGACTGGGTGTATATCGGTAAGAAGGGAAATATTAGGTGTACTTCGCGGCGGCGTTTCAAGTTGAGCTCTGTTGAGCAAGAGTTCGCCGCCTAAATGGACTGGTTGCGATCTCTCGGTATTTCAACGAGGTCACGGAATAAACGAGGCAAAGATCAAAGCCGAGCAAAGATCGAAGCATCTATTAAGCACTTTGCTCTCTTCTTCGCGTTGTGCTCACAGAAAATCACAACGGTGTGGGACAGCCAGCACGAACGCTGTCCCAGTCGGTCGCGCTCGCTACGGCTTTCACGACGGTATTTACAGTCGACTGCATTCTGAAAATCGCACGCTGTCACTACGCGACGATGAAAAAGAGGAAGGAGGAAACTCTTTAAACGAAAGTTTAAAACGTCGATTAAGAACACTAGATAAGAATGCCAGGATCGTGAGAAACGACAAACGAGGAAAAAGAACGCGAATCTTTTGTTAGCTTAATTTCAACTAACACTTGATGATTTCAATGAGCAACAATAATGAATCACGAGTACTGACGAAAATATTGAAAGAAAAGATATTGTAAGAACGCTCAATGCGAAAAAATAAAATACTTTGTTATCTAAGAAAGTAGATACATTTTACGTAAATTAAGCGAAAAAAAACAATATTTTAAGAGTTTTATGTATAATAGATTGTTCTTTTCTACATAAAAACACATTTAAAATTTATATTAAATTCTGGCGATTAAATAAAGACTAAATTATCAACTGAATAATAAAATATTCTTAGTTAAAAATATATTTTTCCTTATGTATATATTAAAGACTTTAGATTCTGTTAATTAGATGGAGAATATTAATGAACCAGTCACGTTACAAACGTGGCGATTAATAGAGAAAATCTTTTCCAGATTAAATCAATACACAAAATTCTGCAAAAGTTGAAATAACAACTTTGTTAGAATTTATTTATTTAGTCGACGTGAATATTTATGAATTGGATAGAGTTATATTTATTGATCGCATTTAAAAGCTATTTGATAATTATATCTATTCGAATTATATCGATTTTCGAATTATTCAAATGTTCAAAAGCAGTTTGAATAAATCTTTCGAGATCTCTCGAGTTTATTATCTGGAAAAAATGCGGATTCTCGAGAGTTTCCGGCGGCGGGTTTGGCTTTTAAAAATATTGCGAGTTTCGCGGACACGTGACGGGTGAAATGAAAGCGCCGGTAAAACGGAGCCATCGACAAAGTGGAGCCACGGCGGTCACGTATATATTATACGGGCCGTCAATATAACACTACGGTAATGATACGTATTAAATTCTGGTCGTGTGCGTCACGAAACGGCGCCTGTTGCCGACGTCGCACGCTCCGTTTCGGCGTCGAAAGCAATTTGGACGGTGCCCGGGTTGAATGTGTAACGCGTGTGTACGACGTTCTTCGCTCGTCTGTTTCAATCAGTCCCAAGTGCATCGACATGCATGCGCATCAGACGATGACGCCGCAGCGCGTTAATGGAAGAGTATCTACGTCGCTAGAAAAGACCGCATATTGATTACTGAATAATAATGCGGGAAAATAATTCGAGAATAGATATAATTATGATAATTCGTCGTGGAATCCGGCTTAGCAACGCTGAAAAGTTCAATTAAAAACTGATAAATGCATCGAATTTTTTACATGCGAAAAATATCATGGAAAGAAAATGAGAAAAAAGTATATAATTTAAAACATTGCACACATAATTTAGTCGGCGATAAAAATTAAAATAAGAAATAATCGCTCGGCGATATAAAATATTTTGCGATTTAAACTTTGCTCAAGACCTCTGCTTGATGGACTAATTTGTTTTTTTTAATACGGTTTATATGGTATAATTATGAGTTTTCTGTTTTTACGATCACGCGCAGTTTTTTTTATTCTCTTTGATGTGGCTATTAAAAAGATAATAAAAAAAAATTGCGCAATTGCACTTCGTGAAACTCGCGATAATGAACACAATGCTTCACTGAATATTTCATTTTTATCATCGTTTCTCGCTCTGCTGTCCTTTCGCCGTTTCGCCTTTTACCCTATTGGGACATATGCGTAATATCCCGGTTGCTGTAATATCCCTTCGGCGATCGTGAACGGAGAATTATGCATCAGTGACATGAGCTGACCTTCCTTCGCTCTGACGTCGCGGCAAAGCCGTTCGGTGTAGCGCGATACCGCCTGTTTAAAATGACATCGGTTTAAAGTCCCGAATGCACGCTCCTCACATCGTGCTTATATCATCGACTGCGAAGGAACTGTTACGACGTACAACCGTATGAACGCGATAACTATGTTAACAGCATCTTGTGCACCACGCATCGAGCACGTGGGGCACAGGCGCGTAGTACGAATAGTATTACCGGTACCGTTAATACCACTTGCGCGATATCTAGTTGCTCAGGGAGTACAAGTGTGTCTGTGTGTGTGTGTGTGTGTGTGTGGGAACGCGAATGACGGCATCCCCCGCCTTTTTCGCGTGAGAACGAAACTCGGATACAATGATATCGGGATAATCGGGCCCAGCGCGCTTTCGGTTACGCCGTCCTACGCACAAACGACCTCGCTTAACTGTGCTTGAAAAATGTACGAAGTTTCTCGGCCAGACGAAGCATGAATTGTAACTCGGCTTCTACGGAATCTCATACTTAACTTTCGACTACAAGCTCGAGCGCTTAAAGTTGCATTTTTATTTACGCCTTGTTTCCTCTTTCCAAGTCCGGATACACTCTTTTCTTTATTTTGCACGCGCGAAAAGTACGGTCGAAACGAAGTGCGAAATACGAAAGGCAATACCGCAAAATTGCGACGAGAATCTTTTTATATTTGCAAAAATATTTATTAATTTAGCACCTTAAGAATTTGCGTTATTAAATCGTTGGGCAATCATCGAAAATTGAATGATATTGATATTTGAACGGCACTGATACCAAAGTTGATATTTTTTATTCTAGCTTAGAGCGCGATTTTTGACGCTTTCCAGCTGCGAGGAAAACTCTCTTTAGAAATCGATAGCTCGTTCACTACCCGTTTTATTATTCACTCGAACATCTTGGCACATTTTCCCGAAGGCATTCCGATCCACACGTTTTCCCGGATTTCGAGATAAATTTATCCTTCCGACGATATCGAATGAAAAGCGCGCGACCGTGCATTTCCTACGCTGCATTTTACGAACCGTTATCCAGAACCGGACATTTTCGCCCGCGTTTAGTCGAGCGAGAACTCGCGCGTGCGGCAAAATAAAATTCGCCGACTAAACATTCGCGTGCGAAAGGACATCGGGAGAGCTTTTCCGATGAGTATACTCGAAAATTTCGAGAGAGAAAAGCTCTCGTTGATTGACACGCCGCGAGATGTGAAATACGTTCAATCTTAGCGGATAAAAATACTTTGGTTGCATAGCGACGTTTCTATCAATAACTTAACGTTATCGATTTTATAAAAATAATTAATCCCTTAATGTCAGATGTCAATTATTAAAAACGTGATAAAAAATTCTTACATTCGTTTTTCCAAAAATCTTCCCTCAAATCCGATTTCCAGGCCAACGTTATTCCGATGAAGTAATTTCGACGGAAAATAAAACGCAGAATGTTTGTGTGTCATATTTTTGTCCGCCTATGCTGCGGAAATTTCACGCTGTGCGCCAGTTCGAAAATTGCTCGCGGCCTCCGCGTCGGCATCGGTTCTCCCGCTATTCATTACACATGTCGTCGGGAATACCGTGTCATTAGGAAACGAGAGGAGCAGACGAAAAAAGAATGGAAAAGACCATCGCGGCTTTCATGATTCGCGTGCGCGCAACTTATTATCGCGTACGCGTGTACCCGATAGCATGCCGACGTGAACTTATTATTAGAGTGTGACGTTTCGCCGAAGTGAACTTAAACGCCGTTACCGCACGACTCTTCGTTCACGACTCGGTTGAAATTGAGAAAATGTGTCCGGTCCCGCGAAACCGAACCTAGTAACCCATTCCGCTAACGAGCGCTACTTTACCCGCGGCGTCCTTTTTTTTGTTCGCCGAGAGTCGCGCAGCTTACTCTCGATACCTCTTTCCGCCAGCGCTTCCCGCAGAAATCACTTTTAACCTTTGCCACGCGGATTTGCGCGCCTAGACCAGTCCCACAGTCGTCCGTGTCTAGGCGCAAGGTGCACGGCCGACCGGAGCTTTCTCCCGATCGCTAACTTTTACTTTTGCCACAGGCAAATTGAGGATCTCGATGTGTCTGCTGCGCTCTCGTACACACTACTCGCGCCGCTGCGACGTCACTTCTGCGGGAGGCCGCCGCGAAACTAACACGGTCCGCGCGAGAAGAAGATGCAGTCGGTCCCGCGTGTAATAGCAGTGTGTCGCTTTTGTGCGCCCAGATTAAATTATACAGCGCGTTGAGGAGCAAGTGTTGCGCAAAAAATGGAACAGCGAGGAATCAGCAGTGATAGTTTTGTCAAATCGATCTTGCTGAGGTATCTCGTGAAAACGGCGATGATGCTAAGTGAAAACGCGTCTTTACGACGCAGGATGTTAATTATCTTCGTGTCTGAAACTTGTTATATTTCATGATTTTCATGACACAAAACAGACAACTGTGCAGCGTAAAATTGAAAGCGAGAAATGTTCTGAGAATTTTTCCGCGACAATGTTTCGCGGTAAATATATTCGCGTATCTTCTCCGGAGGGAGAAAGTTTTTGGGAAAATAATCAGTTGTATTTTTTGGATAGATGATTGAAAAATTACTGTGTGGCAAGTCGAGAGAATAGCCGAATAACATAGATTTTTCCGAGTTGTAAAAAGTTTTGAGGCCTGACGGACAGGCTTTTGAAAAGTGATATGTTAGCGTGATAGCGCGACCGCAGGTATAGTTTCATCCAAAACGTTACTCGGAGTGCATTTTACGCGCGTGTTTTTCAACAGGCCGGGGAAACAGCAACCCGCACGAGTCCAGTGCGAAATTAAAACTGGAACACCGCGCACTCGTTGAAACTGTCGCCGTATTGACGCGAAATCCCTATCGCGGCAATATTAACATACGTGAAAGTACAGGCGGCGCGCGGATATGTCCGTTGTGCGTCATTATTTTTCTATTTGCAATTCAGCTGGTGGCACGTACGATTCAAAGAGGGAAATCTATCGGTGTCAACGTATAAATATACGAGCGTTCAATCAAAATCGCGCGAGAAACGCGGACGCGACACATTTCGCGTTTAATTCCTTGCTGCGCGCTTTGCGCCGTATCTTGTTCTTTATATCTTTCAAATTGCGAAAGCACGGGGGGATTCGAAGGAATCCTCAATTTCTTCCGGTTCAATCTTCGGACGTATTTTCAGTCTTTAGACGTCTCTTTTTGCGCCGTTCGGACTCTTCGCGCGAATCCGCGAAATTTTCACGGAATTTAGGTGCGGAGTATTAATCGAGAACAATTGGTGCGAACATAATTGAGATCGTGATTGGAAATCGTTTGCGCGCCGATAAATCGATAGCGGGCTTCTTTTCCGCGCTAAAGTGGATCTCCCTCGCCGGTGCAACGACCTCGTCCCGGTCTGTCACGATGTTTCAAGTTTTAACGTAGATTAAAAAAAAATAATATATATATATATACACCACGTGGATCGCAGCGATATCGCACCAGCGCGAATTGACCTGTATTTCCGAGCAGTGGCAAGCATCGAGACGAGCGTAACAATGTATATGCTCGGCCCCCGGTTGAAATCGCCGCCGGTGGGAGTCTGCCGTGCCCCACCTTTCATTCGACTTTGACAGTTCCATTATGGTATCGAAGCTAACGGCAAACAGAACGGGTGTAGTTGACGATCGTGAATCAACGTGCGCGCCGGTCCGTCAAGGTATTTTTATTGTTCTTTTTTTTTCTGTTTCATACCGCCGATCAGCGAGCGACATGTGCGGAAAGTGGGTGCCGTTGTTGGCTCCTCGCTCGTGGCCTAACGTCGTGGCTGTGAAATTAAACCGCGATAAACGTGAAAAATGCAGTTCTCGTGTCGGCGATTTCCCACGCGCAAAAGCTGGATCGAATAAGTGGATTTAATAAAGTTTTCCGTTTGTCTTTTTCGGAATTAATTCGATATGAGTGTACCCGAGAAGTTGTGCGATTGCCGTGCTGGATTAATTTAATTAGTTTCGCGTTCGTTCGCCGGGCAACTTCGAGCCGAGACGAATTTTCGTCCGCGTAAAAGAGAGCGGAGCGGATCGCGCTAACGAGCCCGCGCGGAGTTTTGGAATTGCATCACGAAGAATATTTCCGTCTGTCGCCTCACGAGCGGTCTCGAGTTCGCACGAAGGATTTCAACACTCATTATTATTCGCCGTCTTTGACTTTTTCGTACGTGCGTCCCCGATACGAAGCAGCCGAAGACGAATGAACGGTATCCGCCGCCGCCGCCGCCGCCGCCGTCGTCGCGCATTGCACCACACCAATAAACAATCGCGCTTTACTTTTCGCGAAAATTCCAATTTACCGCTGACTCTGAATTTTGCAAATTTTATTCCGCCGAATTCGACGAAGTGACAAGTACGCCGGACATAAATAAATGTTTATAATTTATCGTAGTCGACGGCGCGATTGTTCATAAATTCTATCGCCATGGCAGTATCGCAATGGAAACGATATTACGTGCCGATTCTGTGTTCTAGATATTACAGTGTGCATTGCAGTAAAATCAAATAAAAATGAATATATGAATTAATCAATAGCAGTTGTAATATCGAAAGAAATTATGTATTTATAGACCACATGTATGAGTACAATGCTTTCATTAAAGAGAGATTCATCGATAGCGATGGATAAATTGCGTGGCAGCAGCGTATCGTGATACACTTGCAGTTACGCATATTGATTAAGCATCATTAGAAAGTTTTAACGATTGCCCGTGAATCAACCGGAAAAGGCGGACGAGTGAAAATACGACACTATTGATCGCTGCCGAGAGTAGCTCGGCAATAGTTAACCCAATTACTTAGTGTCAAACTTGGCAGCTCAAATCCAAATGAAATTTAAGCCGGTCTCCGCGCAAGGACTAAATGTAGATTCTGAGAATTATTATATTAATAAAGGTCAATCCAATGCTCCGATAATTTATTAATTCGACCTCAATTTTCGCGACGATTGTGACGAATAAAATCATTATTTCAATCCTGTTACATTGATTCTGTTAAAATTTGTGGGAATCGTTGGTTAATTAAAATTCTAAAGCTCATTTTGCGATAATCATTTTCGAATGACGCTACAGAGAGGAATTCTCTTAAATTGAATATTTCCTTTTTTTCAATTTACGCCGTCAAAATTTCACGGAGACATAATTTAATCGAATTTAGATCCGTTGGATACCGATACGTATCTTCCTTAACGTGATTCCTTCGGCACCGGCAATTAACCAAAGAATGCTGTGGCAATTTTGCGAGCTCGCGTAAAAGCCGAGTGAGAGAAACGCGAGCGACGATGGGTTTGCCGCTGAGCCGAGGCGCGACTCATCCCCCGGAAGGGTGAACATTTTCGTGACGGACAGTGATGATCGCGTACACCATGATCGAGCCGCGCAGTGACAGGGTGACGGTCTGCTCACCTCAGACTCAACACCATTGCTATCAAGTGATACGAACGACAAGAGTGCACCAAAGCTCGCGAAGCTCGAGGATGGTGACCGTTCAGGAAAGGGTCGTCAGGTCGCGTCTGCAATTGGGTTACTCCACGCCGACGTCGTTCATCAATCGGTACATATTTATTATTTCTATTTAACCAACCAACTAACGACCCGCCGAATCTGTCAATGATGGATGACCGGAACACGAATTGTCTCTATATTTCATTCCCGAATTAAACGTGCTTGACATTATTCTGTCAGAATTTTTTCAATTCACATTACTAAACACTATCGCGCGTAATGTAACGAGAGAATTCATCTGCGAATTATTTTGAACTCGTTTTTTTTTTTTTTTTTAATAATCACGTAGGTTTTGTACATAATTTCATGTGTAATTAATTTGTTGAAAATATGAATAAGGTATTTTAAGAATTTCTTCTCCCTTGTGTTAATATGTGTTTTTCTGTTACGCTTGTTTTCCTTTATATCTCATAATGCACTGCAAAGCGTGAATCTAAATGTAAAGCGAGGGAAGTAAGCAAATTCTATCGAAGAAAAGGAAACTACATCAACGGTACTAACATCCGGCGCTATCTCGATGAGATTCGCACGAACGTAATTATCATAGTGGAGGAAATGTAATCTCTCTAAAGCGGCATCATCTCACCTCTTCCCCCCAACACATCGGCGAGCACGTTCGCACACGCCGCCGGTAGAGAGCAAAATTATTTCAGGCAGAAGAGGATCGCTCGATGCCCGCGCAAGCGTATGCGCGCGCGCACCCACGCCGGTAATGGCAATCAACGGTTGTTAATTGCTCGATGATAATTAGTCCGCGGCAGCGCGAGCCTCAGTAGCGGCTGCAATAATAGGAGCACGCTTTAATAATTTCCGTAATGAATTCGAGACACACCGTGTACACGACTTCCCGTACGGTACACGTTAGCACACTTACCGGCCATGACTTCTCTCGATATCAGAAATGTACGCGCTACTACTGTTTGTTGGGAGCCGCTCGGCGATCACGTATAGAACTTTTAATGATATACCGTTAAACTTTGTTTAACGGCCGTAAACGAGAGTGGCGGGATAGTTGAATTGCTAAAATTCGTCTTCTCATTTGCAAATTATATTTATGTTTCACATTCATGTATTCCTTTAGGTTTATTTTTGCATTTTTTAATTATCTACGATATGGAAATTATCTCGGTAATATCAGAGACAGCGGTGCGCAAACTCTTCGGGAGGATATCAAAAATGTTGTGAAAATATTTCGCCCGAAAGGAAAGTGCGTCGAGTGTTGCGATTGTACGAGGAAGTCGCGTGATTTTTGCGTGAGTCCGCATCGCGAAGTTTATTAATATATCACTTGAATACCATAACATGTCCCGTGAATAAGCGACGTTAAAGACGCCGTAATAGACAGGAGCGATGGCACTTGCGCAAATCTCTTATGCATCTGCATCGTCGGAGAAGTGGAGCAGATACATTCTCGAATGCATCTCCGTGAGTCCTCGTGAAAATGAGCTGTCAGCCGATTTCCACGTCGTAATTGATCGCGAGAGCCCCGGCGCTTTTATCGGACTGTCGTCACCCGCGTGATTGATTGATTAATTCGCGATGCGAAACATTTTCGTTTCCCTTATCTGCGCGCGGTGTAAATAGCGCAGTTTGTTAGCGACGCGAATACAATATGACGGATGCGTCATCCGCCCGAGGAGCCCGCAATATGCTAATAGCTTGCATTGTGTGCATTTAGGCCAACGATAATGCACGCGAGCTATCACTACGCGGTAATTCAATTCTCCCTTGACAAAGAGCATTTGCATGTACTTTGCGGCTCGAATCGAATTACGCATTAAGAAGTTAACAAGATGTTACACATCTATTGCTTTCAACGGAGAACACCCGTAGTACGCACGATATATCGTTATCGTCACGCCAGATGCATCGATAACGCGCTCGCTTTAATTATGTATCTTCGCGCGTTCCGCGGATAAGTACTTCATCGGCTCAGCCGTTCGCGCTTCCTTTCCTCATTTTTTTTTTTTTTTAAAGCAAGAATAACACAGGAAACATATGTAAGAGAGAGAAAATAAATTTTGTTAATATTCCTTCGAGATACTTCCGTGGACGGAGCGGGATAGAGAAGCGCGCGCTTCTCGAAAAGAGAGCAGAAAGAAGCCGTGCGCGTTTGGCCGCCCAGGGTATATCTTCCCCCAAAGAAAACAACCAAGCCAGGTGCGTGTCGGGGCAGGCGAAGCCGCGTGGGGAGACCTCGATAGCACGCGCGCATCGTGGCACGCGAGTCCACGGAGCAGATGTTCCTCCTCCTCTTTCTGGGGAAGCTCTAATGCCACACCGCTCCTCGCGTTTATTTCTCCTTATATTCAAGGCCGGCTTCGCTCCTGGCGAAGCGCCTGCTCTTATAAGGCTCGTCGACGTTCTCATTTTCGAACCTCAAACGTCTTTGTTGAAAAGAATGCGCCTTAAATCGATCGAAAATTGATACCTTTTTTTTTTCTCGCGGAATATCGAATCGAGAATAAACCGATAAAAATTGTTTCAACCGCAATGATTATATCACGGCCAGTCGCGATAATTTTCTCGCAGCCGAGGCACGCCGGCAATACCAGCTCGCGAATAATTTCGTAATAATGAATAGAATTATTTTGCTCGCAATGCTGGCATCGATGTATTTACAAACCTGGTTTCTGAAACCTGAAATTGTTTAATTTTAGCTCAACGTGAGATTTGGAAACCTGTTACATCGTATAATTACGCGCTCCTGTTTATTATTCGAAGACATCGCGTTCGTGCTGTTGATGCACGTACAACATTTAATGGTACACGCACTGATTACGCGGCAGAAAAATATGGTTCGACCAGCGATGTGTTCTATAACGAGGCGGATAACATCGATTTCTCGCGCGATTCCGTTTCAATTTTAATAATCCAGCAATACAATTCTTACAGATTATACATTCGCATTGATCTCGCTATCGTTAAGACATTTTTTTCCGTATCGCATTTATTTATTTTTTCCGCCTCGAGATTTTTTCGACCTCGTAAACTTCGAAAGCCAAGCGAATAAATTCGCGTCGCGCTGCTTTCAACTCTCGACGAACTCTCGGTCGTCGTCGTCGCCGCCGCCGCCGCGTTCCGTTCCGCTGACACACGGTTTTGTCATATGTCGCGCGTTCATTTGCTTATGTTACGCTCGCATCCTTACGTAAGTCGTTTAATTGACGCCCATTGCGTAAGAAAAGAAGTCTCCGCGGTTGCAGAAGGTTGAGTGTCACGGTCAGAAGCATCGCCGCTCGGTGCTGCTATCGTCGTTGCACCTGCCAGATGCACACCGACGGATACGGGCGCATAATATACACCTTTGTGCGTCCGGGGGGACTCGTATCCCTTCGATCCGAGATCCTTTCAGGGATTTCTTGTCCCGATGGTCCGGCCGAAAAAGGCCCCGGCAGCCACCAGCTGCTCTCTTTCTCCGCCAGTTCGTCTTCGGTGCTCGAGGTGGCCGTCACGCTACGCAGTAACGCGCCGCGACCTCGAGTTCTGCTTTCGCGATTGAAAGACAGTTTTAATTGTGTAATTGCGCGAGAGCGAGTCGAGGACATTCGTAAAGCGCGCAGCCAGCGGCCGCCGGCATCATAGACGAAGATAGAAGATCCGCGCAATTCGATACACGTGGAAAAATCGTCCCGAGTTCCCGCGAAGGCAACATGATCGCCTGCGCTTCCCGTTTCAGGGGGTGCGTCCTCTTTATTTTTTACGATTCGCGTACATGCGTCGGTTGCGATCGAGACCGTCGCGTGCGTACGTCTAATAATTAGAGGCACCTGGCGTGAATAAGAGACGACGTCGTTATCTTAGTTTAATTATCTCCTTACAGTTCTCGCCGACTTTTATTATACGGGTTGCCCGTACAACTGTCGGTAGACTCGAAAAAAATGATGATTTTATAAAAAAAAAAATTAACAATATTCTTCCGCTCGCTCGAAACATCGATAGTCTTGAAGAACTTTCGCTGCTCGAACTATCATCTTCGATAGCTTATCGGAAAAAATTTCACAATCACAAGATATAAGATTGAATTGCTAAAAAAGAAAAGACAATCTGGAAAACGATATCTCCGTGCGAAGTCCGGAAAGCGGGAATATATTTTTTATATTTTGTATATTTTCTTTGCAGCTTTCCCACGAAAGTGGAGAGGCCCTTAGCGTCGCATAGCAGCAGCGCTAATCAGGTCCACGGCAACAGCATGCACGGCGTGTACTCGACGTCCGGCAGTCAGACGTCCCTGTCGACGACGTCGTACATCACCGGGCAGTCCTACATGCAGAATCAGAATTACGCGCACGGGCCGCCGTATTCGTCCGCGGGCGTGCAGATGTATCCGCACGGCGCGACCGGCTACTCGCAGCCGCAGAGCTACGGCACGATGGTGCAGGGCTACGGCGGGCAACCGCAGTCCGCTGGATATCAGCAGAGTCATCTTAAGAAGGGATCGGTCCGCAACGGCGATGTGCTGAAGCGATGCCGACTGCAGACCGCGTAAGTCGTAATTCTATACATTTGCGCCAGTTTCGCGGCCGCGAGTAAATAGATATATGGAATCGTAACGGTCCGCGCGAGCAAGGCCGCTTCCGGCCGCGACGGTAGATAATTTGTGAAAATGGTCATCTCTCTCTCGCCACGACAGATACGAGCTGTCGCAGGATCTGCTCGACAAGCAGATCGAGATGCTGGAGCGGAAGTACGGAGGCGTGAAGGCGAGGAACGCGGCGCTGACGATTCAGCGCGCCTTCCGCCGATACACGCTGCTGAAAAAGTTCGCGGCCATCACGGCGATGGCGAAGGCGGAGAAGCGGCTGAGCAGGAAGCTTCAGGAGGCGGCGGCCGATCGCTCGGGCGGCCTCAGCGATCACGAGAGAATGGTCTATCACAGCCAGATATACATTCAGCAGACGCAGCCCGCCAACAGGTAATGTATGCGCGGTGTTCCGCACGCGAAATCTCTCCGTTAAATTCGTCCCGCTAAATCAATTGCGAAATCTAACAGACCGATGCCGATCAGAAGCATGTCGCTGCGGGAGAGGCGGCACGCGGACAATTCGCAATCGCCGATACCGAGGAGCCAGAGCGGTCGATGCGAGGTTCAAGTCACCGGCCATCAGCACACGAATCACAGCTTGCACCAGAGCGGCGGCAGGCACACGCCTTCGTTGGCGCCTAGCCCGTGCAATCGACATCAACAATTGCCACCGAGCCCCTGCTGGGAATCGAGCTCCCAGGAGAGCGGTTCCAGCATCCATTACTATAATCCACAGGTAAGTGTCGACACGCGTCGTGACGGTGCGCTGAACGAACGGTGAGATTAAGTTGATTCGATGAATTTTCGCAAAACGGCGGACGTTGATAATTTTCTTATACATCCTCGCTCCATTACGTGAATTCAATAGAGAAAATCGCGATTCATTTGTACAGGAAGCTTTGTGCGGCCTGAGACAAGAAACGCCACCGAGAGACTTGTTACGGACGCCGTGTACATCGCCGTCGACGCCGCACAATCTGCAGACGGCGTTGTCGCAGAATTGGAGCAGCGCCAACCAACTCTGTCCCGGCCGAACGAGAGGCTCCGCCAAGAAGGTGCCGCCGGAGGTACCGAAGAGAACGTCCTCCATCACCTCCCGATCCATGGAACCGCGTCACAATGGTCTTAGCAAAAGTGTGGAGAACGGAAGTCTGAGTTCGGTACAGAGCTCCGGCAGCGATTCGACCAATTGCGAGAGCTCCGAGGGCGACGCTCAGAGAGGCTCGCCCGTTTGGAAGCACAAGGGAATTGTGAGTATGGCTGATTTTGTTTTTCTCTCATTACATCGCGCCCGTTGCTTGTGTACTTAGCGCGCGAGTAACGGCGATTTCTTGAGGACGTAAGCGAAAAGCATTAACGGAACTGTTATTCTGATTGCAAAATCAGTCGAGTTCGCCGGAACATCAAGAATGTGCGAGTCATACCACGGACTCCGTGGCAATAGCCAACACGGTGAAGGAGCTCGGGCACTCGCATGCCAGCTCCGGCTACCAGCTTCCTCTGATGGATCACGTGGAGGCACTGCCGAGTCAAACGAGCTACAAGGTGTCCGAGACGGTGAGAAAGCGGCAATACAGAGTCGGCCTAAATCTCTTCAATAAGAAGCCCGAGAGAGGGATCAGTTATCTCATTAGACGCGGATTTTTGGAGAACAGTCCGCAGGGTGTCGCCAGATTCTTGATTAGTCGAAAGGGACTGTCCAAACAGATGATTGGGGAGTATCTCGGGAATTTGCAAAACACTTTCAATATGGCAGTGCTTGAGTAAGTGGCGCTACAATATGCTCAATATATTTGTATTAATATATATTTATAAAAACAAATGTATATTGGTAGAAAAAATTATTATGATGATGTTAAATTATATTTTCACTCGTAATTTACAGATGTTTCTCCCAGGAATTGGATCTGTCTGGGATGCAGGTGGATGTCGCTTTACGAAAGTTCCAAGCCTATTTCAGAATGCCCGGCGAAGCGCAGAAAATCGAGCGACTGATGGAGGTCTTCAGCCAGCGTTACTGTCAATGCAATCCCGACGTAATATCGAGGCTGCGGTCGGCAGACACCGTTTTCGTTCTGGCCTTTGCTATTATTATGCTTAATACGGATTTACACACGCCGAATCTGAAACCCGAGCGCAGAATGAGACTCGAGGATTTTATAAAGAATCTTCGCGGAATCGACGATTGCGGCGACATAGACAGAGACATTCTAGTTGGCATTTACGAACGGGTGAAGGATAACGAATTCAAGCCGGGCTCAGACCATGTGTCACAAGTAATGAAGGTTCAAGCGACCATTGTTGGAAAGAAGCCAAACATGGCGCTGCCGCATAGAAGATTGGTGTGTTACTGCAGGCTCTATGAGATACCGGACATTCACAAGAAGGAGAGACCCGGCGTTCATCAAAGAGAAGTTTTTCTTTTCAACGACTTGCTCGTCGTTACAAAGATTCTCAGCAAGAAGAAGAATAGTGTAACTTACACTTTTCGGCAGAGCTTTCCACTCTGCGGCATGGTAGTTACTCTATTCGAGGTTCCTCGTAAGTTTCCACGATAGAATGTATTCTATCAAGATGTTTAAAGTATTATTTAATTTAACGTTTTTTTTTTTTTTTTTTTTTTACTTAATTTATCTTCTTTGCAGATTATCCATACGGCATAAGACTCTCTCAGCGTGTCGACGGAAAGGTTCTAGTCACATTTAACGCCCGGAACGAGCACGACAGATGTAAATTCGTGGAAGATCTCAGGGAGTCCATCAGCGAAATGGACGAGATGGAGACCTTACGTATCGAGACCGAATTGGAGAGGCAAAAGAGCAGTAGAGGCGCACGCGGCGGCGCGGAAAATAGAGACTCCGGTGTCGCCGATGTGGAGATATGCCCTTGTCCCGGAACTTGTTCCGACAGAGCAGAGACGGTCGACGTCGACACGCAATTGAAACGTTCCGCCCTTAGCAATTCACTTCTGGACATACACGAGCAGTGTGAGTATACAAGTAAATAATTATATTTGCCGTCACGACGAACGCTTGTGTATAACATGCCGATGTGTATGTGTGTCCAGTTGCCGGTGAGAAGCCGCAGCGTCGTGGAAGCGTGGGTTCTCTAGATAGCGGTATGTCTATTTCATTTCAATCTACTTCTGCCAGCTCAATGAGCCAAGGCATTAAGCACCCCGGACAAGTTCATTCTATTCACTCAGGGGCTACGATCCCTGGCGCTGGTGGTAAAGGACTGGCTCAGCAGCCGTCTTTTTTAGGAGGTCTCTTTGCCAAACGAGAGCGAAAGCTATCGCAATCTGAAGAGTCCGGCCCTTACAGTCGTACTACGGAAGTATAATGTGTATACTCTTCCAGTAACATAAATAAGGTATACCTTTGTATACTCGCTTTCTTCTAGTGCGCTTCGTGTTTCCAACAAAGTAAATAAAAAAAAAAAAGAATATACTGTATCGCGATAACGACGATTTTAGATAGCAATAATCACTCACTGATTTATACATCTTATGAAATTGCATAATGAAATTACGGGTGTCGTTTTTCCACATTCAGAATTTCCCATCGTACCGTTTACTCTCAACTTAGAAACTTAGACGTGAGAAACGCACTTAATACAAGCAGCAAGACTGCCGCGAGCTGTTCTCTTAGCGTACATAATAGAATAGCGTCGTGTTTTTTATACGTATATCACGAAGCGTGCTAAAGAATGGAACAATTGGTGACATCTAAATCCAGGAACATAAATTTGAAAGATCGGGCAGGATCCGATCAATATTATCTGGCGTATTTGAAAAGAAAAAAAAAATTTTTTAAACCTATCTCTCCTCTCCCGAAATGTGTATAGTATTTATTCATCTGAAAAGAGCTAATGTGGACATTTTTCATACTGTATTTATAATTTACAACACGTGATTGAACGATAGAATTGTGTGTAGATAGTTATTATACATATATATATACACTTTTGCTTAGTTTTACATAATAGATGGGCGTTAACAAATAACAGATCGTAATAAAAAAGAATATCGATTAAGTCACGAGAATACAAGATACTTTATCGAGAGGAGCTCTAGCTGTATCGCTATCAGCAAGTATTATCACTCTCACCGATTCGAGCAATTGTAAATAGTAGACGTATGACATTCGGACCGAGTTATCATGTGTAACAAGAATGAAGTTAGTGTAAGGAAAACGATAAGCAATCTCTATCGATGTTAGGTGCATGTTGATGTCTAATGATTTTTATTATCGGAAATGTGAAGTTTGAATGTAGCAATGAAATAAGACTTAACATAAATCGTGTTTGTCACTATAGCGACCTACTTGATAATCATTTACGAGAAGTAGTTTTGCTTATTGTATGTTGAAATTTTGACTCAAAGTTGTTCGAATTTTCACTAAAAGGAAAAAAAAAAAAAATTCAGCATGTTAAATATACCCATGATTAATTCGTTTTTCGCCTTTCGCGATGAGTAGACGAGTAAATCTAAACGTCGTAATAGTGTCATGAGAATAAACACATAGGCTAAGATACATACGCGAAATAAAAACGAAAAAAAAAGAAAAAGAAGAGAACGCGCATGCCTTATATACTGCCACGATAATTCTCGCGCGGCCGAGAAACGAATTAATTAAATCGTAGAAAACTCGAAAGTTCTTCAAGAGCTGTGGAATTGTATGACGAACTAATTAATCGTGTACATAGCGCTGACCGCAACGTCGGCAAGCTGTAAACAAGCAATGGCGTTTATTAATTTAACGATAATCCCCGTTAAAGTAATGCATCTATATAGGAGGAGTGTTTAATATATTTATTTTAAGTTTTACCTTTACATTTGTTCTCAAGCTGTCCCTTCCTCTTTTTTTAAATATCGAGAGTTTCAACCGACAACCAAAGGATTTCACTAATATTATAAAAGAAAGAGAGAGAGAAAGAGAGAGAGAGAGAGATGTTTTCGACGGGCCGCAATTTTATTTAGCAATAAGTATTATATAATCATTGTTAATTTAAAATAAAAACTTATATTGGCAAGGTATGAGATGCGGTCAAAGATATTCTAAATACAAATCATCACATAAGTAAAACATCGGAATTTTACGAATAAAAATCTTGCGCGCAAAAAATTATTAAAAAAAAAAAGTATCGATCGTAGAAATAAGTATGTTGCGCTGACAAACTTTTATACATATTGCATGATCGACTACGTTTTAACTTTGTGCTTATCACGTCTGCTAATATTGTTACCAATTGACTCTTAATATGGACGATTCGTACTACTAATGCGCTTTATAACGTTGTAAACGATTGAATGTTGAACACTCCGTTCTATTTATAATTCTAATAAAAAAAGAAAGCAAAGAACGTAATTGTTGAAATTGTCGACGGACAATACGTATTCCTGTTGACAATACATTTTGTTTACAGAAAAGGAAGAAGATAAATAGAGGGACATTTCTATGCTTTATGTGCCTGTTGCGAAATTTTTTGATATTAACTAGCTACAAATCATGAATTCATTCTAGTCTTTCTCATCGGTACAATATACACAGTACATTCTTCATACGAAGATATGCGGGATTAATTTGCTAAAGTAATTTCCTAAATTTCATTGTACAAATACACATGATTAACTTAGATACACATCAAATATGCTAAATATAGTGAACAAGATCGCGTCAATTTTTACAACTGGCTGCTCACCTAAATAATCCAAATTCTGTGATAATCTTACGAGAACAAAAAAGACTGACTAGGGAGACAAATATTATGAGACATTTTTTTTCACCTCAAATTAAAAAAAATCGTTTTATCGAACGATGAAAAAGATTATTTAAACATCACTTCAGCTTTTGAATTTGATACTTCATCCCTATCAATAACAATGATCAATTACATTAAAATAGATTATGCTTGATTGATGGAAAATATCAAGAAAGAATGGCACCAAGTTGACGCGGTCTTTAAATTTTGTCATCCGACGAACACGTCGCAATATTCGACTTGCTTTCCGATTGGGAGAGAAAGCGCGTAAGCGTATAATTAAGAGATCAGTTCCCAATGCCAAATTATTAATAAATTCCTCCTTCATTAGTCTAATAAATGCTGTAAGCACACTGTGTTAATAAATAACTGAATCTGAAATGCATAAGTGATTATGTGTTGTTCGTATTGTCTCGTCGTATCTCTAACATCCTAGAACAGTATTGCAATGCATGTTTAGTATGGTAATTAACATAATTATTATTTAAATAACGTAGAATACAATAACTAACTATAATAATTATTAATCTTTATATACTTATTACAATAAGTGTATAAATATATACTTTTTTTTATTTTTAATCTTTTTACCTAGCTTTTATTTTATATATGTCTTCAGAGAAGGACAAATTTTTTATCTCATTATTTTTATACTGTGCACAGCACACTAAACACTAAATACTATATATTTTTTATATAGACACACACACACACACAAAAGTAATGTACAGTGGGTAAAAAGTTAGAGCATTACGAACTGATTGTTCTAATTTCTCGGTAGAGAAGTTTACCTTTCAATTACCTAAAATAAATATTGGTAAATATCAGTGTTGTTCTATCTGTTGATAAAGTTTTCCTACGCGTTAAATTGTTATCGCTAGATTTTGTATCATGGTGAGTATGATACATGTTCATGTCGACGAATATATGACATGAAGTTTACGTAAGAAAAATTGCAAAGTAGCGAACTTTACAACTGCAGATTTACATATGCATTTACACAATTTATTTTTGTATTCCTAAATTATTTTAGGAATACAAAAGGGATAATTTGCTTGATATTCCAATTTACCAAGTAAAGATTACTGATATTTAAAGTTCAGTCGGTAAAACATACAACTGCAGCATCACCTTAACAGCTTTCAATAAAAGAGAAAAGTTTTTGTATCGACTGTAAATATTAAAAAAGACGTAGTGAAGTTTATACTTATAAATTTTATGTCATTTCCATCAAAATAAAAGTTTATTGTTTTTTATTTTAGGACAGACATATAGATTCTAATAATATTTTTAATTTATTAAACTACATATGCTATCTGCTATGAGATGGCGACAGTAAATCTTACAGCATGCTGCTTCGTTGATAAATACAAAGATAGATACTCTATTGTTATATGTTTCATGTTATATTAAATTTATCAATAGTTATGTATACCAGAAATACAAATGTAAATTAATTTAAAAACCACAAGTGACATTTTTATTAAAAATTTGAAATATTGAACATTTTTTTACTAGAGAAAAATAAAAATAATATTATTGATCTATTTACTTTTACAAATTATTACTCTGAATTTATAACAATCTACGACAAAAACAATTTTAACTGAAAAAAAACTGTTGTTTTGCTTTTAATTTGTCAAAAAATGCCAAATTTAGTTTAAAATAATTTAGGAATACAAAAATAAATTGTGTAAATGCATATGCAAATCTGCAGTTGTAAAGTTCGCTACTTTGCAATTTTTCTTACGTAAACTTCATGTCATATATTCGTCGACATGAACATGTATCATATTCACCATGATACAAAATTTAGACTTTATGCTTATAGTGTAACATGATTTATCCTTTTATGTTCTTTTACTCTATTCCTTTTTCCGACGTTTTTTTGATTAAAAAATTGCAAAATCTCTAATTCAGATCCACGTGTTTAGATGCGATGCACGATACCGATGACAAAGAGTAGGGCTTAATCAGTTAGTCGATAGGCAAATTGGCTTACAGGCTAAGCGACAGGGTGGTTTGTGAACAGCGAGAAAGAAAGCAATGTTACCAGTGTGTTGTGTATTCGTGCAGCAAACCTGTCGCACTGATTGCGGAATAAAATCCGACACATCATACCTGGAGTTTCTTTGAAATTTCTGTACATTGTGATTTAAAGTTGCAAAACAATTTTCTCTCGCGTTGAAAGATATCGCGCTAACAAACTATCGGCAATTCTCTCACGTAAATTCTACTCACGTACCTTAAATGAAAACTGACAAGGAATAAGAAACGACTGTGAAAAGGCGGGTCTGTAATTGTGTTCAAAACGTCGCATGTGAAAATGTTTTCTAATTTTTTATAAATTTTATTTTTATATTACACACACAAATAATACATATTATTTCTCAAGTTATAATGAAAGTACAAAATTAGTATTAAAACTTTCCTTTTTATTTTTTTTTACAAATTTTCTTTTGCAATATTATTATTATTATATACTTTATTATTATTTATACAAATTTTAATTTTTATATGTCATATAACATATATGTAACTATATAATATACATATACATAATATACGTATTATGTAACTTGATGTCATTAAAATCTCTATGCATTCTTATTTATATTTATATTACATGCAGACTGACTTAATTTTATCTTTGCAAAACAATATCTAGTAACGATGTTTCTTAAATATAAAAATAAATAAAACTTTTTTTTACAAGATACGTTTTATGCAGTTTATAATTTAAAATTTATCTTAAAAACCAGTTTACAAATATGCTTCACGATGTAACTACAAGCTAGTAGATATTTTTATAATCAAGTTGAACTTAAATCTAGTTTTAGATTTAATTGTAAAATTTTATTTAAACATACGCACGCAAGCGCGGTAAGATTTGTTATCTTGAGATTATTACAAGAGAAGCTGTCAAAAACAGTCATCAACGTTACAGAGTACAGTTTATTGAATAAAGTGTTTTTACTGCAAAATATTATTATAAAATATTTAATAATTATTATTAAATTATTAAAATTTCTATAAGATTGTAGTCTCCATGTTAAATCCTTGCTTAAAATTTAGGTGCGTCTGTGTATGACTTTTGATGAAAAAGGTTTATCTAGGTCGCAATCGATGATCAATATTGATAATGTAATTCACCAAGGTTCTTAACATCGATCTACATCAATGGCTTCGTTCGTGAAACGCTGCGTTCAGATGTAATTCAGATGCTCGTTGATCCACGAGGGACCGGAAGTGATCGAGGTCCGGCGGAAAAAAATTTTCGAACGAGCGACTAACAGTTTCCGTTCAATCTTCGCTGAGAGCATTCGCCGGATTTACGAACGATAGAATGTGCAGCTGATCGGTGAGTGGAAAATTGGATCGGAAAAGCGTCGTGTGAAGGACCATAAAAAATTTAAAAATATATGAACGCGATGCGGAGATTGCTAATGGAATATATTTTCAAATTGCAAATTGATCAAATCGCAGAAATTTCTGTAATTGATTAATTAACATATAACTAACAATTTCTTTGTTGATATTTTTTCAACACAGTGCAAATTGGAATTGGAAAATCTATCTCTTATGATATCTAACGCAAATATATTATTACATCAAAGTCATACGCTGTGCGCTTTCAAATTACACATTAATGTGAATTTATGTTAGGTGTAGATATTTGCTTTGTACAAATTGAGGTCAGAGAGGGAATAAATAAATAAATAAATTATTTGTCATTTATCGGTATGTGAGAAGTATTGACAGGGACAATAACAAACGATAATTTTGCGTTAAGTCGAGTTAATTATGCAGTCACGTTGCAATATTAATAGACCTATATGCGTCAGAGTGTGTAACGTGACGCTGAAGAAACGGACGTATCCGCTCAGAAGGGTAGAGGTGTCTTTGATGTCCGCGAGTTCAAAACGATCTCATCGATCCCTCCGCGTCGATGAATTCTTTATGACGTACTCTGCCCATATCCCGCACTTGCATGCCCGCGCTGCTCTTTCACGTCGAATACTATAACACTTATAAACATTTCTATCATTCCTCTCACTCGTCGTTCTCTTCAGGAATGACGAGGCACTCTCTGGTGATCATATGCTGCTTGTACTTGTACACCCTGTTTGACATGGCCGCTCTGCATTTTCCGTGAGTACGCAATTGTACTTCCACTGACGAACAATCGAGATTTTATCTTGCAAAATTTTATATTTCCAACAAAAATATTTTTACTAAATATTTAAGGAATTAATTCAATGCAGATGACAAATTTATTTAATTTGTAAAATAAATACAATGACGAATTTTGTCATTCTTGAATGATGATATCTATTAAAATGTAAATTGCATCATACCGCATTTGCGCACACATGTATAGTGTAATGTAATGCGTACATATTATATTATATAATAATGAATCGCACGACTTTATAACAAATGTCACATTTATTACGTATGCGTACTACATTTCTTAATCCAATAACTGCAATCATTCCTTAATTGAACAAAATTGTGCAGGTACAATCGTGGCATCGACGGCCTGGTTAGAGAAAATAGCATCCACTCTGTAATAATAAAACTGCCAACAGACCGCATTTGGTTCTTGCAATCTGTGAATAATTTATGAGCATCGTCGATGCTGCAATAAAAATTTGCTGTATCGTAATATCACTGCTGAAATCATTATTTAACTTTTAAGGTCATCGCTGCAAATTAGTTGCAGTCTAAAATTAAAATCTGCAATACAATATTTTTTCTCCTTTTTTGCAATTAGTATCACGATAATCTTATCCTAACGATTCGCGAATATATGTATTAATTAATAATATTTCAGACTTGTAATATTTTGTTATTCTAATTACTATATTTCCTAGTTTCTTTTTCTTTTTGTGAAAATAAGAAATTTAATAATATATTCTCTCTTATATTGTATTTTCGGTGGTGTTGCATTAAATTATAATATTTCCGGAGAAGCCAGAAATAAGTGAGAAAATTCTTGAAAGGTTCGTAGATTATAACAGCTTGACAGGTTTCACAATAAGACGATTTTAAATTAACATCACCTGAATGTGTTTTAAATCCAACAATCATTTGTTAACATATTCTTTGTAATCCTCTAACTATAAAATATGACATAATTATTTTTAATAAAATTATTTTATCATCAATAGAATAATACGCTAAATACAATAGGCTTAATACAAAATTTTTAGTAAAAAAGATTTTTAATAAATTATTTCTTCCATTTCGCTTTATATTTCGGTAACTGACAAATTTCTGAAAATGTTGTGCAATAATAATGTGACGGCAAAAGGAATGATACATATGCATTACTTATATATTTTTTTAGCTAAAAAATTATTTTTGTTTGATAAAAATTAGATTCAAAAACTTAATTTTATTATAGATAAGAATTAATTTATTGTTATATCCTATTTGTTTTATGAAATAAATCATACGATATCTCATCAAAAATTTCATCATGCAATTTCTCGTAGTCAAGATAATCTTTGATAAATAGACTGGAAGGATAGATAAATAGACTAAGTAGATAAATAGACTAGATAGTAGGATGTGTTAATGGTGTTCATTAGGAGGTCACTTTCTGACATTTCAGGGAGCTTGACTTTGATGAGTACGGAAAAAAGGAGGCCTCTTTGTCGTTGAAGGACATCCTACCTTTAAATCCGAAGCAATATGATAAGCACAGAGCACCCAAGTTCCTCGGGCAACCCACTGTCGTTTATTTTCACGTAACAGTGCTCAGTCTGGACTCGATAAATGAGGAATCGATGGTAAGCGACATAAGTAACACAGCGAAAAATATATTTCATTGTTCTTTATATTCGTCCAAAAATATCGCATCTATTTCTATAGTAAACCTGATTACGTTTGTCTTTTTCTATCTTAATCGTTATATTAAAATACGTTTTTATTAAAAATGTTAATTAAGGATAGCTTTATTTTATATGTAGATTTTCTTAATTATGATAATTTTATTAATAACGATGAACGGAATAAATAACGCGAGCTTGTGCTAAATATTACGGAAGGGCGATTTTTGTTTCGCAAATTACCCTCTAAACTATTTGCGGACTTCGAGTTTATGGCGAACGTGTAGTTTGCAGAATGTGCAAGTTAGGAGGGTCTTTTATTCGGGGGAGAATAATTATGTCATCTGCATATGGTCGTACATGAAGCGCAGCATCTGTTCACGTTGTTTTTCCACTACGACAGACATACGTGGCCGACATATTTCTCGCTCAGAGCTGGCGGGATCCTAGGTTGCGGCTGCCGGAGAACATGTCCGAGGATTACCGGATACTTGACGTGGATTGGCTGCACAACATCTGGAGGCCCGACTGCTTTTTCAAGAATGCGAAAAAAGTCACTTTTCACGAAATGTCGATACCGAATCACTATCTCTGGCTGTATCACGATAAAACGCTGCTTTACATGTCCAAGTAAGATCGATAAATTCTATTAATGTTGAAGAAAATTAAAAATTACTGTTTTTATTTTTATTTGTGAGAAATGCATCGTGTTTTTATAGACAATATCAACAATAATAACTGATAGGAAATTGTTAATGCCTGATTAATGTAAATTGAAGTTGAAGATAACTTATATGATATGATGTGCGACAATACTATTATGCAACATGGAATAATTAATACAAAGTTGAAATTAAATAATCACATTTAGCGCTAAGTGTGCAGTGAGTTTCCGACTGAAAATTATATTTATTAGTGTGAGTTTGAAACCTTTTCATTCGCGTCCAACTTTCTCTCGCTTCGGGAAGAGGCTTTTATAGCATTATTAAGTAGCATAAGCTAAATTGAAATGAAGTGAAACGAAGTGTTTTCATAAACGTCTTTCTTTAAGAGATTCAAATTATATAAATAACAAATGTTCTAAAATAATTTTAACTAAAAAATATTTAAACTTTGTCTCTAATGTACTTTTCTGATGAACAATATTATTATTAAAAATTATAAAAATATTGGAAAGTAAAGGCCAATAATTTCTAATAATTATTTACATGTTTTCTCGTATGCTGGTAAAAATTATGGACATATTTTGACTCCGAGTATGCATTTTCTTCTTGAGAATAAGGCATAGTGCTTTGAAAAATATTAGCTTACTCTTTTTCCATAGCTCTATTATAAAAGCTCTATTATAAAAGCACTCCGCTCTGTGGAAAAGAAACTATCACAATGAGCTTGCCATATTGAAGCTTGAGGGAAAAAGTAAATTCTAGAGAACTTATTGTGCTTTAGCGGCTATTGTGAACGGAAAGCTGTTAGCTCTAAAGCTTTGACTGCTCAAGTAGTGAATATATTTTTTCTGGCACTTTTAATAAAACTACATAATTTCACTAAATTACTTAAATTTTAAATTCGCAAATAATTATTTTACTTAATGTAATAAATTAATTGAGACAAGGAAGTATAGAATGTTACAAATTTTTGTATGTAGGTTTTTTAATAGATATAAGTTTATTGTTAATATCGAGATTTAAGTTAAAAATCTTTGTATGGAATCTTAATTTAAAGATTTATTTGTAGCATCGATATATTATATTTTTATTCGTGCATTTTATTCTGCATTGTAAAATGTTTCGCTTTACAGTTACGAGAGTTTATCCTGATTTTATTTATTTCTATTTGCAAGCGATTTTAATCCAACGTGTTGGATAGACAAGTTGTCGCTGTCCATTCTGTCAGATTTTATTGCCAATAAAATAATATGGATTTTGTTCCGAATATCTGTATCGAGAACAAAAATAATAAAAAACAGTATTGTTTGTCATTGTAAAAATAGCGGTATCGAATAACTCATTCGTACTAGAGATTGAAACGTAATTTGATTAACGGATCACAGAGCGAAACGTGATATTTGTTTCAGGTTGACCCTGGTGCTCTCCTGCGCGATGAAGTTCGAGTCCTATCCTCATGACACTCAGATTTGCTCGATGATGATCGAGAGCCGTGAGTACATAATGAATGACAACATAACGACATCAATATTAATCAGAGAAAACTGAGATTGTAAATATATCCTAATGTCATAAGGGCTTTCCACGTTTCGATAACAGATAAGAGACACGCGCTTACGAGCTCTGACTTTGCTGACTTATCTGTAATAATTATTGATTTAACAAGTTATTTGCGGAACAAACTTAAAAATAAACACGTCAAAATGTCGAAATAAATCAGCAAAGTAAATCACGTCATCTTGCTTGATCGAATACTTTATTGACAAATGTATGATCGAATACTTTATTAAATATTCAGTAAAACTTGAAAAAGTTTAGATCCAATCGAGGAAATTTTTAATTGAATAAACATTTGACAATAAAATAAAGAATTGAGATAAATTTGCATGCTTATATAAAAAATATTAATCAAATTTTCCGTACTATTTAATGTGAAAAACTTTAATTTTGAATGAGAAAAGCAAATGCGACCAAGTACATACATATAACGGTGTTGCAAGTTGAGTATTGGCAATAAGTCAACGCGATGGCTTTTATTTCTATTATATTCCCATGCCTTCCCCATGCTTCCCCCCTAAAGTCAGAACGTATTATTCTTTCGCAGTTTCGCACACGACTCAGGATCTGGTATTCTTGTGGAACATGACGGATCCCCTCGTCGTTAATCCGGAAATCGAGCTGCCGCAACTCGACATATCGAACAACTACACGACCGACTGCACGATTGAATACTCCACCGGAAACTTCACGTGCATACAGATTGTCTTCAATCTGCGCCGGAGACTCGGTTATCACCTGTTCCACACGTACATCCCGTCCGCTCTGATCGTCGTCATGTCCTGGATCGCCTTCTGGATCAAGCCGGAAGCCATCCCGGCGCGGGTCACCCTTGGCGTGACGTCACTGTTGACCCTCGGTAAAGCCATCTCTCCCCCCTCCCCCCCTCCCCCCCTATGTTCATTGCGCGCGATAACTATTCATGATATTTGCAATCATGATAAAACACTTCACCGAGATAAACACATACACGTATGCATGGCATAAATAACAGTTGAATTATAATTTATTGTACCTTTTAATTTTCATCAATCTTATTTCACATTAATTTTAAGAGTTAAAATAAAGTAAAATTATTTGCGATAAATTTCGATAAATATTTCGTTTTAGAAGCAGAGATAAATGCGATGTATAGTATTATTGATAATTGATTAATTAATTTAACTCGCAATAATCATGAAAAGTCTTTTGATGCATGCAAATGAAAAATATCAAAATGTATTGAGATTAAAAGTAACATTTTAAATTTGTAGAAATAATTACATCCACATTTGAAGCTTAATTTATCTATATATTAGTGTGCTAATTTCAATTTATGCTTGCAAACAAAATGAAAATAACAATAACTGAATTATTTTTGTTCAATGCATATTTATAGAGGCAGACGCTGATTGTATCAATTAAATTGTGTATGTAGTCACAAATATCGATATTGAAAGCTAATATTTTCTTTCCAGCTACTCAAAACACGCAATCTCAGCAATCTTTGCCGCCAGTCTCGTACGTGAAGGCGATCGACGTGTGGATGTCTTCGTGCAGTGTGTTCGTTTTCCTGTCCCTTATGGAATTCGCAGTGGTGAACAACTATATGGGGCCCATCGCCACGAAGGCCATGAAGGGCTATTCGGACGAGGATCTTCGAGAGGCGATCGACGACTTCAAGGTAAATTGGAAAAAGTGCGGCGCAATATTTACGACGAATGCTTCGCTGGCCTCGCGAAATTGATAGTCGAGATAAAGCAAAATATCGCGGCACCATTGCTCGAGAGTAATGCGATCTCGTTCCGTCCGTGCGATATCGCTCAATTGAATGAAAATGCCAGAAATAAATGACACTACATTGCAACAAAACGTTGTAAATTATCGGCGAGAGGTCGTGAAAATCGTTGAAACGAACGAATGAAGTTATATTACACTCCGTTAGTAAGCAAAAAGAAAAAAAAAGAAATGTTTTAACGTGCAGTCCGGCAAAAGTTGCGGTTTAAGCTAAACTTTTTCATTCTTTTTATATGGAAAGAGCCGAGAGAAAATCTATATGACTTCTACAAACGCATACTCTCGTTTTTAAATCAGTCCGAGTGTTATTCAGTAAATAGCATCAGAAAGCGAAAAGTGAGAGAAGAAGCATCACTATTCGAAGTACAGAACTACTCGCCTAGACGATCATTCGTATTGCCCGACGATATAACTTCTCGCCGGTAACTTCCCTTCCCAAGCTAGTTTCGAAATTTTATTTTATCGCGATGCATTCGCGCGCGCGTTCTCTCCACAAAGAAATATTTGTTCTCTCTTTTCCTCCGTGTACACGGACGTTGCTGTTCGCCGTGCGTTGCGTACACGAGCGCATCCTGCCGTTTTCATTACGTCTGTCGTGCGTAATATTTACTTGTACCACTGCAGCATTTATTTTCGCCTGCACTACGACGACACGTTTGCATGTTATATAAATGATGTCTTTTTATAGCAGTTAATAAGCAAAAGTTACTTTATGTGACACAATTTTCTACGCTTACTATTTATATATCTTGGACGTCAATACAAGTTTTTATTAGTATTGAATAATTTATTTTTATTTCGATTTTATCACAATTATCATTATCGCATTATTCTGCTCTCTGCAGATGTAGTTATAAAAACTATACATAAAATTTCAAAAATATAACACTATTTGCTCAGAAAATAGAATCTAAACGCTTTTATTTTATATAATGCGTGTCAACGACAAAATCAAATATCTATTTTAAGAATACATATCTGTTGAGAAATTTATTAATAAAATTTAATGCTGTTTTTCTTACATTGTTGTTTACATTGTAATTACGTTCTTTATATAGCAATTAATTGCCGGAATACATTAATTTCCAAAAAATATAACAACGTAAGATATTTACTTACCTTGCAATAATCTTGATTATAATGAACTAACTACAAAAAGAAGGAAAAACATAAGTCAGAATAAAAAGTTATACATATAAATTAACTTTTCACTTTTATTGTACTCATATATTATTCTTTGCGGAATATATTTTTCATCTGAATTCACAGACGCCGATGAGACCAGATGCTGAGAGAAGCAGGAGTCCAACGAGGACACCGACGGTTCAGTATGAGCAATGCTGCCAAGGACGAGCCACCGCCATTTACATCGACAAGATTTCCAGATTCTTCTTCCCCTTCTCGTTCTTCATCCTCAACGTCGTTTATTGGAGCACCCTTCCTATAATACAAGTCGGCGAGACGCATGCCCAACTGGGAGAAAGCCGAATGTACTTTTATAAACATTGAATTTGAGAAAGGATACCGTAAGAGACGTAGCAATAAATTTGTCGAAATACGAGGCTGGCTAACGGAAATTGTATCCTCTTAAGTATGTATCATGTAGGATAAAGTACGGCACAATAAAGGAATTTAGTGGAATAAAATCCTCATGTTTATTGAGAGTATCTTCGCATGAAAGATACAATCTTAGTCAAAAGTATGGAAAATCTTTTAACAAATTGCGAGAAATCAAATTGAAATTTGTATTCAAATTACAAGACGTAAGTTTCTATAAACAATTCCAAAAAATATTGTAAAATAGTTACAAATTTAAAAGTTTTTAATCATTTAAAAAATTTTCTATTTTTTTAATACTAATTCAATTTTAATTAAATTTATTTAAAATGTATTAATTTTTTACTAAAGTTACTATTTTTTTTCTTAAAAATTATTATATACAATAAAATTATCTGAACAAATAATATAAAAAGTAGTGTTTTCAGAAAACCTTAGTATTGAATTAATATACTGACGACATGTATGAGACTTACAACGTTTTAATCGACAATTAATATACGAAAAACTATACTCACCTATACATTCCTTATACTTGCGTTTAAAGTGACGCAATATTGAAATTAGACATTTAGATTGCTAAACATATTTATAATAAACATTATCCTTTCAGATAAAATGTATTATTACTTTGTCAATATATATAAAATATGTTAAAATATATAATACATGTAACACACAAATAACAGTATAATATTAATATAAAATTTTTTATCTACTTGCTAATAAACATAAAATGAATATGTATTAATTTTATTAACATATAGAGTAAAAGGTAAAAAAGAAAAATTCTTAATTAAAAGAAAAATAATTAAAAAATTGGAAAAGTTATCAAAAAAAATTACAAAAAAGTGAGAGAAATAGTAATACATAAAAAATTAATTTGACTAATATTTGCTTACAATGTGTATAACTATACAACATTAACATAAATATCTTAAATTATTGAAATATTATTAAAATTATCAAAAAAATTATTCAATAATTATTCTGTTCTGCAATCAAACTTAACCATCCCTTATAGTAAATTAATAGCACGTGTTGTCTGACACAATGCGGAGCATTACTACTTAGTGGCGAAACCGCTGGTAAACCGCTACTACTCGGCGCACTAAATTATATAATTTTGTTAGGATTTCTGATAACGCCTTGTTACAAATAAGTGTAATTAACCAAATTTTATTGTTCATTGTATGTAAAAATAAAAACAAGAATTAAATAAAGAATCAAAGTTTGACAAATAAAGAAATTTATATCAAGGCATACACCTATATATAAACTTAAATAATTTTGTGTGATTTGTCTAAGATTACTAAATAATTTAAATATTATAAAACATAAATTATATTAAAAATTTATTTAAGAATCTAAAAATTAAATTGTAGATTTAAAAAAACTTTACATATAAATATGTATAATTTTAAGGAATACTTACTTGTATTGCAATTTGTTAATACGTGTTATAAAAATAAAATTAATTGTTTATTAGTGTGTAATTTTATCCATGTCCCTTTCGTTTATGTACATTACGATCGCTTTTTTTTATTGTTTAAGTAGATTTCGGGTCATCCTTGCACAAGCTTTTTTATTCGAAGATCTATGTGTAGCAATTGCAAATTTTTATGGATCCTCAGCGCAGATCAATGGTCACAATACTGCAATATAGAAATAAAATGCAATAAAATAAATGAATTAATCAAGGATAAAAATTAAATATAATTAAGATTATTTATTTGCTATAAATAATATAATATTGTGTAAAAATAATTTCAAAAATCAAATTATATTTCGCTGTAATTTCTATTCTTTTTGTTGAAAATATTTTAGTTATTTATAGTGCATCACGATCAATAAACGATACTAATTGTGATATAATGATACTAAACAATAAAACATAACTTTCGAGCAGATAATTAAATTATCCTGAATATTGCTGCTAAACAAATAATTAAATCATTCTAAACATGGCTGCTAATAATTGCATTATTTTAAATATACCTTACTAATATCTCAGTTAAATATTATTACAACGAGAATAAATTTCCGCGCGTTGTGAGCAACCGATGAAAAAAACATCTCTTCTTCCTTTCGTGCATTCTGATCTTTAAACCGAAACTTTCCTCTTCTTAAAATGTCACTTTCTCGGTATAATTCAAAGTTCTCAATGAATAAAGTTATTAATTCGGTAAAACTTATTAACTAGATAATTGGCTAGAACTTTCAGCGTAACTCTCGCAATAAAATTTAATTAGGGTAACATCAAATGCAAATGTTTAAATTAAGGGATTGATAAAATAAAAATAGATATTAAAAAACTTCGCAGACCTGCCAGAAGTAATTCTTTAGCATTCAGATATTAAGAGATTTCCTTACATTTATATTTTAATATTAGTATTACAATTAAGGATCAAGAAAAATAAAATTATTAAATTAAATTAAAAGTTCAGGAATAAAATTCTTCACTTGAGTTTATAGAGCAAATTTCTTTGCGCATACCTGCGCCCACAGGTGGCACGAAATTGTCTCTGACGTATGAGTGAGGATTGAGCTCAATACGAATAGAAATGCCCTTTCATCTCTCTTTTAATCGCTGCAGTTAGCTGCGCCGGGGAAACGTCAGTTCTCATCATCCGGCAATTGCTCGGCAAGGAGCAATTAATTGAGGCAAACCGCGCTCACGCCGTGAATAATTACATTCACGTAAGGAATCATAATTGTCGTCCGCCGCTCTGAATGGATCGTTTCTCGGTACGTCGCGTCCGAAATATTCCATTCACGCCGCTTCTTCATCTTCACCCTGCATTCTCGACCCGACGCTGCCTTTCTTTACATCTGCCGTTTCCGCGAGAAAGCCGACGCGATAATTTCGCGATGTCTCACGATCTGCCACCTGCGCGTGACGCTTGTCACGAGCGTGCCATGTTAAATTAGCCCGTTAGAGTTAATACAATTGCCTGTTGCCTATCAGCAGACAACTCATATGTTCGATCGATATTAATTTATTACTATTTAAATAAAAGTGGCACGCGCAGTTTATCTCATTTTCTATACTTTGGAAAATAAATCAGATTAGCAGCAACCGCTTCAAAATTGTAGGGAAAAAAACGCAACAATCAGAACTTATTTAAAGAAATTGGTTGTTATAATTTAACAGATTTCCATTTTACAAAGACATACAAATCAAAATAGATTCCTATTTCAAATTTTAAATATAAAACAAATTTAGCAAAAAAAAAGTTTTTCTGAGACCACCAAGAAGTGTTATCTGAGATGTTACCAAGATGACTAATCTTAAAAATTGAAAAAGATAAAACTAAATAATTGTTTGAATCAAGAAATCTGGATACGTATCACTGTGTAACTATCATAAAAAAAAATTAAGTTTATTGCACAGCAATGCAAGCTCGTTATGAAATCCAATCGAGTACGAGCATAAATTGCATTTCGATACTGCATTCGAGCTGCATTTCGCTCTTGACAGTCGTTTTACAAACGTTCATGAAAGCCTTGTGGATATAGGGATAAAAGTTATTACTCAATTTAAAAGCCAAATGCAATCTAATGCGATTGCATGCGGGATTTAGATGGAACGTATCGGAGATTCGCACGCAGTCACTGATCTATGCACTCTCTCAACGAGGATCGAATCGTCGAACACGTTACTTAACGATCTACCATAGTCGTGTTCGCCGTGGTTGTTAACGAGATCCCTTCATTTGCGTAATTAACTATCGACTTTCTGTCGCCAACGCAGTTAACGAGCGTCCCACCGATCGTTAATGGATTCCAGATAACGTGGGCGGATTCTAAGAAGCAGCTAAACAGTTATTATACTGAGCGCAAATTGCCAGTCACCCTACACGCAAGGTAATCTCAAAAATGTGACAAATTTCAATGAAACTAAGAAATCGCTAGAAGGATTTGAAACTGTTTTTTTTCTGTAAATTGCTACGTTATCCTATTTCATTATAAAAATATAAATTGAACTAATTCGCGTTATTCCCGCGATATTTTGAACAATAAGGAACATCTTTATATATATATATATTTTTTTTTTTATAGATAAATATAAATCGCTAATACATAAATTTTATTTTTTGAATACTTAATGCTTTTGATTGTTGCTTGCAAAGCAAAGTTTTCAATTATTTTAGAGTAACGTCAAATTATAGCTTTAATAAAAAGATTCTTAAAATATATTAAAGAATTTACATTATATATTTTTTAATTTCTTCATAATGTTCTGTACTCTCATAATAAGAGCAACTATTCTTGCAGGAACATTAATGTAAAACACAATGTTTTACTGTCGACCGCATTACGCTCGCAAAATTACGTAGTAATGCAGTAGTTAAGAGAATTTAATTATGCTGGTTCTTCGTAAATTATTTCAACTTATTCGTTACGAACCTTGAAATTTGTCAACGCATAATAATACAAAATATACAATAATATGAAATAATAAAGTTTGATGACATAAAATATACATAAAATAAAATATATATTTTTCATTACATGTAAATATTCTATATTTAATGTCAACCTTTACTTAACTGACAGTGCCGAAAGAGTAACATCGATAATGTCGCATGCTCCAATATTGGAACTTTGTAATGAACGGGTTAAAGAGTTACTCGTTGCGTTCAAAACTCTAAATTGCAAAAGTTAGCTGTACAAACTATCGAAAGTTTATCCGCGCTTCTCAATGACTGTACAATCTTTGAATTTACAGTTATTATTTTCTTAGCAGAAAGTTAAATTATGAGGTGGAAAAATTATATCCTCCATGATTCTCCACAGAAAATATTTCAGTAATCAAAAATTAAATTAAATATCTGCTTAAATAAACTCCATGTAAATTAAGTAAGAAAAAATAAAATAATGTATCTCTTTTATCTATTTATACTAATAAAGCTTAATTCATTAAATTTTTCCATGTTCTGATATAATTAGGAAAGCATTGAAACCGCGACCTTTTTAACTTGGCTTTCAGTATTTTTTCATTAAGCAAAAAACCAACACAATCAGGGTATCCAATATAGTTAAATAATCTGTCCTCGTTTAAAAATGCGCAATGACGCGGCCAAAATAAAAAAGGGCACCAAATAATTGCGGATGGTACAAACATAATTTAAAATTCACGCTGCGCAACATCATTACGTTCTTGAAACAACAATGCTCGCCTGTAAATAA